TAGATAGAAAGTCTAGAAAGAAGTTCTATACGCTTATTAACTCTAATACATACTAAATACTTTTTTAGGTAATTTTTCTAAATAATCTAGACTTATACAAAGTAAAAGATTTTATTTAAGCCTATACTTTCTACTATATAAAGAGCCTTAGAGTAGAAATAACTACCTATAATTCTAGTAATTAATTCTTCTATCTAACTTATTAGACGCCTTGCTTTTAGATAAAAGTACTAAAAAGAAGAAAGAAAAGTAATCTAAAAGTAAGAACTAACTATAGACTTAAATAAGATTACTTCTATCTAAAGAACTACTATAGCCTTTAGCGTAATAAGCGTTTTAAACCTAATATCTATAGTACTTTACGCCTATAGAAAGTAGAGTTCTAGATTAAAAGCACTAACTATAAGAGTCTATAGAGGTATAACGCTATATAAACTAGTCTAGAACTTATTCTAAAGAGCTAATTTATTAGTAAGATCTACCTTACTAAAGAAAAAGTTAAGTAGTAAGTAAAGGTAAGAAAGAACTAGAACTAGTTCTCTAAACTAGTTAAGAAGAAGTTTTAAATCTATTACTCTAAGACTTCTACTATTAAGAATATTAAGAATACTAGGCTATCTAATAGAGAACTACTTAATAGCTATAAAAGTTTTAATAGTAATATTAAGAAGAAAGAGACTACTAAAGTTAAGCCTTAAAAGAAGTCTACTAGAATACTTCTACTAAAGCCTAAAACTACTTTAAAATCTACTATTATATCTAAGCGTAAGGCTCTAATTAATTAACCTTTACTACGTAAGAGATAAGCGCGCTTACTAAGCTATAACTCTACTATAGAAGATAATTTTAATAAAACCTATAGTAGATATAATAAAGAAGTTAGTAATAAGTTTATTTAAACTATAAAAGAATAACACATATATAATATTAAGTAATAGCTTCTTTTTATAAATAAGACTATTAGAGATACTTTAATATATAGTTAACGTAAAGGCACTATTATAAGTACTAAGTCTACTAGAGAAAAAGCTCTATCTTAGATAAACAACTACTATACTTTACTAGGTAATATTACTAAAGAAGACCTTATTAATAACCTCTCTACTAAAGAGTAGGTTAACTTACTAGTAGAAGAGCTTAAAGAGAATATTAAGAAAGATTAGATTATTAATAATATTACTAGATTTCTACTTAATAATTACGCTCTTGCTACTATAAATAATAAAGTAAATAACTCTAATAACAATCTATTTAACTAATCTTAAAGTACTCTATTCTAGTAATATAATATATATACGCGCTCTATAAGGCTATAGTTTTAAATCTTAGATATTACTCTTATACTACTTCTACACTAATAACAACGTAAATATCTAGTAAACTACTTCTTATTACTTATAAGTTTAGTATCTAATAGCTATCTTAGCTCTCTAACAAAAGTTTTTATTATACATTTTTACTTTAATACTATCTATATATTTATATTATTATAAGTATCTAGTAAAGTAATTAATCTTATTAAAGTAAGTAGCTCTAACTTATTACTTTTCTAGCTTTTAGAACTTTTATACAATTCTTTATTTACTAAAAGTCTTCTTACGCTAGCCTATTCTTTATAATAGTTTCTCTATAGAATAGTTATCTCTCTAGATTCTTTTTCTAGTATACTAACTTTTATAATAGACTATATATTCTTATTTTATTATTTCTTCTTACGCAAAAGGTATAATTACTAATACTTCTATATTAGTTTAATAGTATTATATAGCTACTAGCTTTATATACTAAAGAAGGCCTCTTTATCTTAGCTTAGTCTAAGCTACTATAAGTAGTTTATTTTTTACGTTATAGATAGAAAAGATATAATATAGGTTTTACTTATTTTATTTTATATTTAGTTTATTTATACGCGCTACTCTAGTAAAAAAGTTCTTTATATAGCCTCTACTTTATATACTAAATTACTAGGTCTTTATAGTCTTAAAGAGTTTAGTCTATAATACTCTCTTACTAGGTAGAAAAGCTATTATATAATTATCTTATAGGTATATAAGCTCTTCTTTCTTAGTAGTTAGCACCTTAGCTTTTACAATAACAATTTAATACACCTATATATCTCGCACCTAGTGTTAGAATGCGAATAGACTTTCTTGTATTTTGTAGTATACTCTAGGCTAATATTCTTAAAGTAGGTTATAAAGGTTTTATTAAAGTTACAGAGCCCTTTAGGTGGAAGGTGTGGCCAAGGGCTTCTTTCTTCGCAGGTTGCCAAGGCAGTTAATCACGGGCTGATTAACGTATCTAGGTAGACTCTATGAGTGTATACTCATAAGGTACGAGACTCATCGAGGGCGTAGTTGTAGCACTGCGCCCGGTATCAAGCTTCCCTAGAGCGATGCAGTAGGAATGGATTGTAAAGTAGCCGGGGTGTTCCAAATTTGGTTCGCGTCCCCTGCAGGCGCTTGGTCCAGCTGCCACACGACGAACCTCTGATACTATTCTCAAGTTAGATGATCTTACCTTTCTTGTGAGGCCTACGTGGGGTATTCGAACACCTTCGCCGACCAGCAAGGGCCATCCTAGACGTTCGCTGCGAGACGAGCCGCCGGTGGGGGTGGGAGCGCGCGCTATTGGGCACAAAACCGTCGACAATACCTGGAGTAACAACCCGTTTTGGGAAAGCTGCAATCTCCGAGTTACTGCATCATGTACAGAAAATCAAGGTAATCTTAACGATCATGGAAGCAGTCTAGCGTGCCATACTTCGTGGCTGTCCAAGGTTTTCGTTGGGCGAAGTCGGCGGCATGCGATCGAGGCAGAATGCCGCTTCTGGACTGTGATTGGTCAAGCCCTTGGCGAAGAACGTACCACATTCGCATGTCCTACAAGGTCTGCATAGGCTATGACAGGCCTTGCATCGAACGCAATACATCCTTTGTCGCCGTGAATACTAGTCTACACCTGTTTTTGGTAACACAGATCTTGGGAGGGCAGCCTGGACGTTGGGTGTAGACTGTCGACGGGCACAATTGCTGCGACGATAAGACAAGAAAACGTTGAAAGCACTTGAAAGCAGGATCCAACTGTGAACCTCGATGTTGTCATGATTGGTGCGGGACACGTAGTGCGTCCGTTCCGATATGCAGATAATATGCGGGAGCGCTATGGCAAGCAAGATCGACCCAAAAGGGTAAAGTCGCTATGCGCAAGGCTTGTAGCGACGACGAAAAGAGCAGGATGAATGAGCGTCAAGCGGTACGTATCGCCAGTACATGCAACTTAGTTAGTCGCCCACTACCGAACTGTAGCGAGATGAGAGAAGTACTGGGTTGGTTGCCCAGCATATCCAAAAGTGCAGTCTCGCGATATCATTGGTCGAACCGGTGCTTTACATGTGTTCCGGCTATGCACACAAATTCAACTGCAGCCCAATACATCCAAAGTGCGGCTTTTAGACATGCCTTCTGTCGTAAGTCATGTACGAACCATGTCTGAGTGGTCCTGCTGACAACACGTCGAGCTGGCTCATTGGTCGTCGAGCTGAACGTATGCCCCTCAGGTGTCCACCTAACCGCGTCTTTCAGCCCGAGGGAGGAGCGGTAGTACACGAGTGATAACCTGTCGTATGTCACGAGCGCTTAAACCTACTCGCCGTGGTAGGGTTTCGGTCGCGACATACTCAAGAACCTTGGGTAGCCCCATACGCTCTTGATCCTCTTGTCTGGACGATCCGCGCTCTCCTTCGCACGAACACACATCGGGTGGTGAGTCACCAAGTCTGGATAACGATACGGGGAGCGGATGGCGGAGAGGAAATGTGGTGGAGTCGAGCCTTGAAGACGTATGAAGGCGATCGGCCGCTATTCAGGCCACTTAGCGTTCGCCACGTAAGTCGACTCTTCTAACCTTCCTTCCTGGCTCTTGAGACTGTTGCAACCTACTACGACCACTGTATAGCTTAGCTGACCTCGAAAGCATTTTTCTCAACTGGAAGAACGAGAAAGAACATCGTGCAGCCCGCACGAAAAGCACGATGGAACACACGGAACACGACAGATCGCCCGCGAGAACAGATGATCATCAGAGCGACGCCGACAAAGTGAGCGAAGTACTCGCAGACCACTGCATATACCCACCTGATCAACGCATCGGTTCACGCACCTTTCCCTCGATAACCCAGAACGCACACATATCTGCGCCGCATGAGCTCGGCCACACAGGGGGAACGACCGACCGTGGGCCATGCGGGTTGCTGTCAGTAGAGCTTTACGGACGAACGAACACGTCGTGGTGTCCATAGGCAACACACGCCAGGCCAAAGACGTGGAAGAAAGAGCACACAAGATGACAGAGTGAGTGCAGGCCGACCAGCTGACACTATGGGATAGGCAACTAAGACCGGGGCATTATCGGCACTACCCGCTCACGCCATCCGAGTGAGCCCTAGCGTCGTCACGTGTCTGCCAAGCTGCGAAATTTACCCCACCAGTCGTCCTCCGACACAACAACACCACCGAATCCGACCCTCCGCCCGCTTCATCTCACGATGGTCGACCTTGCTGCATGGCGCAAATTCTTCGCCCGAACACCCGACCAGCCTTCCCTGACTGAGGGGAAAGCGCCGTACTGTCTCTCGCCGGGCCGTGCACCATGAGCTCTCCACTTCTATTCGCGGCTACGCGACGGTCACGGATTGGACAGCTTCAGCCCCCAATTCAAGCACAGCGGCTACGATCACCACAATCCAGGACGCAACCAATCATACAAACTGGAAATTGACATTGCATCATTAAATACTGAGGATCTCAGGAATAGAAAGAAGCGACTGTAAGAGGTAACGCCCGGCCTTCCCTGTTCCGTATGCCATCGCTCAATGCCAGCTCTGCGTGCATCATTCCGCCTCTGGACCCAAAAAATGAATGGCCTCAAACTGAAAGAAAATACCGAAGCGGTATACATGAAACGAAACCGCAGACGCCCGCGCCATGACCGCTGTAACCTCAGTAGACTGCTTGCAGTCTACGGTTGCGCTCGCAAGACAGCTCATTGATCTCTCCATCCAGACTGCGAATCATCTCCATCGACTTCTCGATCGAAGCACCGAACTTGTGAGGCTCTCGCTGCCAGCGCCCGATGCGGTCCACCTCAGCGGCTCGGCGGCGCATCTTGGTGTTGATCTTCTCACAGAGCTTGCAGTATGTTCCCGTAGGAATTGTCTGCATGATGAGCTTCATGCCACACGTCTCGCCGATTCGGTACTCCTTGGCGCAGTGCTGTCGGAAGTGGCCCCACTTCCAGTCGCCGCAGACGAACCTGTGTTGGTCGTAGAAGCACATGTTTCAGGCTGGAAGAGCTTGGACGTCTGATGTTCGGTAACACGTTAGTCTTGTTCACGAACCGCTTGGATATCAGCACTCGAACACCTACCTGTTACTGCTGGTTCAAACACTGGACCTTTTTGATAGGGCCAGCGATCGCGTTCCTGGAAGTGGGTCAGCTCAGGGGTCACCTCAACCTTGAGCCTCAAAGACACATACAGAATGGTTGGATGGTAGGAGGGCTTTGGCAAAGACGGCTATGGTCTATACCCAAGAAAGGTGTTGTTGGTCAAGCCCGGTGTTGCAAAAGATGGCTGAGGATCAGAGTCTATGGTCAATGACTGGAAGAGATCTTTGGACTGAGTGTGAAGAGACTGATATTCTGGCAGCAGCGTACCGCTATTTATCCTTCGAAACGAACTCCTCTCGCCGGCCTCGCCGGCCATCCATCGAACCCGAGCCCGCTTCGCTGTCAGGCCATAAATTGATGCCGTGGCCTATCCTTTCATCGACGTGGTAGCACCCCACCCGGTTCCATCCAACGATATCGCTACGATTCACGGATCCCTCTTACTCTGACGCTAGAGTAATGCGGAGACGGGCTGAAATGATACCCTAGGCCGTGCCGGCGTTTCCAGCTGCAGACAGTTATCACATTTGCTAGGGGATCAACGTGTCGTGGCTTCCTCAACCACGTAACCCTTTGTTCCAGATGCGAAAATCCCGCATGTTCCTTGTCAAGACGCCTTAGTTGGCGCTTGGGGTCGTTATGGTGTGTCCTTGTCGAGCAATCCGGGCCTCTCATGCCATATGAGATGGAGCATTCGTGAACCGAGATACGATCACGTGCTGCTTGGTGTATGCCGAGTTACAGTCCGGTTCAAGAATATTTTCCTGGGTCCAGTAAGCGATTGGCCAATGGCTCCCGCTATTGGTACCTCAGTGAAAATGCCACCAGGCAATACACGGGCCAACCTTGAGAGTCTCTAGGTTCCACTCCCTTCACCTCGAGCTATGGTCAACCGTTACAAGATGCACTGACCAGGCCCTGGAGAATAAGCAGTATCGTCGCCTGCGGTTGGGCATCGCTGTCTCCTTACGCACTAGTACGCCATGTGGTCACGGTACTTCGGGCATTTCTCATTTCCTACGCTACATGCTCGACCCCAAATTTTCCGTTTGTGGTCACGCTAATCAACCTGTGTAGCATCACTGAGCTTCACCGATGGTGCTCGGCTGTTTTTTGCGTCCACTAGAGATCCTCACCTTTACCGCTTGGCTGACACACAACATGCCGGTCTTTCCACTATGGACTCGAAACGCTGTTGGCCAGTCACCTTATCTTGTTCTGCTGCAGACATGCGTCTTCGCCTTCGCACCTGGTCACCCAGCATCGCCACTGGGATGGAACGCTAGCAACATCCGCATGCATGTTGCATAGCACGGACTGGGTCCTTCATTCAGCTGATCGATATCCCCACTCAACGGCTGACTATGCCCGTGGCCGGTCCGTTGTTGACTGACTAGGCCCTGCACGCTGACAGGCATTCCTATCCTAGATAACAGGATGGCGTGAAGTTAATGCGGAACCTAAGCCGCCATCGCATATCACGGTAATCATCTGGGCCCCCGGACACACACTAGAACCAGCCAAAGCATGCCCCATCGGAGATCCTCTGACGTGGCGAGCGGTATATGGTTGAGCAAAGGAGATGCCGTATCCCTGGCGTTGTCTCGCCATCTGTCATAGCTTTTACGAACACATCCGCGTTGGCTCGCCTGCCTTTCCGCTCATACTCAGCGAGGGATGCCTCCACCGGGCCTATGGGAAGGTTTTCTTCACTAGAACCGTCTTTACCGGTGAGCCCAAAAGGATGGCAAACAAGGCTTGAGCTATATTGTGTAGTCAATGCAGTGGCAACATGATGCAGTGTGCTTTCGTAAGTCGACTCAACCAGTCTGCCTTGCCGTCGAACAAGGCAACAATTCCACATTACCGAGCCAATTGCTTGCTCTCAGTTAGATTGAGCTGTAAAATCATAACCATCTTCTTCAACTGTGTTCTGGGCATCCATGGCATGAGTGCGGCAAAGTGAGCGTACATCGAGTGATGCAGAAAGCGAGGTGTCCTTGTGGTGTCATCCGGCCCAACGACGGACTTGCGTCGTGCACGGAACCACACACCAGCCATCACAATTAACATGACAACTGCGGCCACTGCTGCGACCATAAGTAACCTTGCAAATAGTTGCGCAATCAATCGACCCGTTGCTGATTCCACCTCTTTTGGGTTTCTCTGACGCTGTGACTTGGCCTCTTATGGTCCTGGCATGTAAAAATGCCCAGAATTGCGCTCCTTGAGTACGCAAACCTCAGTCTCATCAAGGCTCGACGTTGGAATTTGCTACGCGGCACTCCGCGCATACTTCTCGTCATGTGAGAGCAAGGCGATGCTGGGTACGCCGCGAGTACATGGGCAGCGATGGAACTAGATGGCAAGTCGCACGCAATTTTGATCCCGAGACGAGCGAGTGCTGTGCTTGTGTGGGCCGGAGCTGCGGTCACCGGCGCTCTTTGTGCATGACGAGGCTAAGCTGTGTGGAGGCGGATTGGTGGGCGCCGCTTCACAGTGGGTCAAGTCGTTCTGGCCAGCTAGGTTACATGTCCCCGCGTAAGAAGAATATGGTTGGTCAAGGCGGATGAGAACGTTCATGTATGCCGAGACCAGCGCAGACTGGATGACGAAAGATTGCCTGGGAGGACATCACAAATCACTCCACGGGTCACACGTCTTAGTCAAAGCAAGGTATTCGATGACGGAGACAGAGTGAAGCATGACATGACGGATACGCTACGACAAATACCTGAAGCAAGTGTGGCAGTAGATGGCGGCCACCCCGTGCAAAACGTGAAAAGACCGAAGTGGCGGGACCTCAGGCTGAAAGCCCTGCCTTGTCTTCGCTTGACCACCGAGAGCATGTGCATGGCACTGGCAGGTTTCGCTCGAGCACGGGAAACTGTTGCATGCAACCAACCTCTAGCCGCATATGCACAAAGGAGGAGGGATCAGGGGACAAGCTCATGGTCTGGCTGATGCCGTGGACATCCTTTGGCTGGCCACTATACGAGCAGCCTGTCAGACCGATGAAGGCGTGCAGACACTGACAAGAGACAAAGAAAGCAGAACTTTAGCGACGATGTGTTGTTCATGCGAAGGATGCGGAAGGATGGTGTTACGCATGAATCTGGCTATCGTAACCGTGTTGGGTCGCTGATATGGCCGGACAACAATGTGCTGATCCGGAAAAACATCAACAAGCAGTGATTGGGGCTGCCAAAGGCTATATGCCGTGCACGTGGCTCCCACAAGGAAAGCGCCGGCAACAAGGCATACGCAGACGAGTATTCGAGAACCTACCTTTGCCTGATGACGCAGAAAGAGGGGTATGCTCAGGCGAGCCTCCATGCGTTTCTCAGTTTCAGATGGCGGCAGTTACTGCTGATATGGTCGACCAAAAGCGGCTGAACGTTGCACGCACTGAACATGACACTCGGTACCAGCAATTGGAGACATACAAGCTAGGTATGTGGGGCGAAAGTGACCTACGACATCGCACCTTACTCCAAATTAGTGGCCTATCCGCATCAGATAAATGGCCGCCGGCGACATAATGCTGAAGCAGTATGATGCTCGCAAAGCTACACCTATAACAAAGGCAAAAATCGCCGCATTGATCCAATTGGCAGGAGTTACTACCACGACAAGGATATGCCCACACGATCGGGGTGTAAGGTGCGTTGGTCGCATCGTCCTTCAACCGAATGAGCGGTGACGAAACCGTAGCAAAAGGGCCGACATGACATGCACGGTAAGCTCAAACCCACCAGTGTAAGTGTGGGGAACAAGGAAACGAGAACAACAAAGAAATAGCAGTAGAGCCTATGGAACCAGAGGGATAGCACACTTTGTGCGACAACCCCGTTGCGGCCGTCATCGCGACCCAGCGCTTGACGAAACGTCGTTTCCCTACGCGCCCACAACACTTTGACGTAAACAACAACAACATCGGCGGAGAGGAAAATGAACAAGCACTATCATGCTGCAAGTAGTTGAGCCATTAGTTCGGAAGAGAGTCCGCACTTGTCAATTGCGTGCGCAGCAGCGTGCGTCATTAGCTTCATGCTCAACATCTAAGCGAGCGAAGGAAAATAACCTAGCCCGATTACCGGCCACTGGCATGACAATGAGCGACGGCGCCACATTATCAGATCCAGAAAACCCGAGTGCGAGTAGAAAGTGGCTCTCGCGGGGCTTCTGTAACGTGCAGCTAGCCCTATTAGTTGGCCGCAAGGCGGGAAAAGTCGGATGATGGCGATGTGTTATTAGCACTGTGGGGGAATTCCAAGGCCTGTGCATGAGAGAGGCAGTGCTTTCTAGGTTTGCAATACACCCTCAGTTGCTAGTCAGCTCGGACGGCGTTCTGGTCTTTCACGTGAATAGCCGTTGAAAGGATGAAAAGACTGGAGGCGAGGATCCGAGAGAAGGCTGGGAGAACAGAGTGGAGTCAATCTAGAAGCGTGTTCATGTACGATGACGGTCTGTGGGTAAGGCCTCAGAGGAGTCCGTGTTCAACAACCAAATCTCAATGGGTTAAGCCTGATGTAACGATGCCTGCTGGAAGTCATACACCGCGAAACACACCCAGACAACCTGGATACAATGCCCGATTGCAAACTGCGCCATTGCAGTCTAAAGCACCTTGAATGATCATGTCTACCACGACTCATGATCGCAGACATTGACTCATCGACCAGCATGTCTTCAGAAGGGTATCTCCCTGATATGCCTGTACGTACGTTTCTCTAAAGAGAAGACCCGGACATAAACGAGCGGTGAAGATAACCACGTACCATCTTTTCAAAAGAGGTTGGAGATTGGGCGTGTGTATGTCTTGGCACCGTCTTGCTCCGCGTCAAAGCGGTGTTCTCCGACCAACCACCGGCTTGCGATGTGCTGCTGGCTTCTTATCCTGGGTCCCTTTGCCTCTGTGTTGTTCAAAGAGGCACCAAGGCATATCCCTGACCAATTGCCAGCTTGACATTGTACGCGTGGAGCAGTCGCGCAAGCTTTCTATGCGACGCGTCGAGTCTAGGGGATTCCCAAAGTCGCCATGCACCCGGCTAATAGCTTGCCGATTATGCCTAGTTTTCTAACCTCATGATCACCTAGACCACATGACCTGACAGTGTACGTTGTGTCTGGCAATCGAGCAGCGAGTATGGGAGGTCGATTCGGGAGGTGAGTGGACGCGTTGTGAGGTCAAAGGCCGGGCCTAACTAAGGTAAACTCGTGAAGATGCGTGGAGCCGCTCAGGCAAGACATATAGGCTTGCATCGGTAGCAATGGTAGTAGGCAGTACGGTTGCTTGAGCGATGTTGTAGACCGCGTTCGCGTAGGAGACAGGGGGGCGCGTTCGATGTTCCAATGTCATTGATGACTAAGTAGCCTGCGGCTCTATCTCGGCCCGGAAATAAATTCATCTCCGGCGTCCAGATTGTCTCCAACTGGACAACACTTTGAGGGGAACACCTCAAGATCAGCGATCCAGAACATGAGAAATAGATGCAGATTAATCACAAGTCCAGATTTCTACAGCTTGACGCCACCAATGCTACAGCTGGTCTGCCTCAGAGCTCGTCGTGACTCTCCGCATTCACCTCACACAACCGCCCATCCTTGGTCTCCACCAATGCCTCACTCCCAACGCATCTGCGGCACCAAAGTACGTTCTTTGGATCGGCCCTCCTCTTCACTCCCCTCAATATCCAATACCGCTCGCCCCAAAACGCTTGCTGCCATTCCGGCTCATAGCTATCCCCTTCGTTGAAGTATGCGCCAGTGTCGGGGCTGAGTTGCCGCAGTGCCTCGGTTTTTCTGCGTGTGATATCCGAATATACATGATCGATGGTGGCCTGGAATGCGGTGTCACCGAACGGCGATGCGACGATAAGGTGCGTGAGAGTGTTCCGCCATGCAGGGTTAAGACTGCTTTGAAGAGGGTAGTAAGCTGGTTTGTTCGGTGCACCGATTATGTGGCCGATGAGAAGTGGGTTCTTTACTGGTCCCTATGGGTATGTTAGCCAAGATCACAGATGTCAACCAGAGCTGAGGTCCTTTACATTTGGCTCAAAGGCATCATTGGTTGGGCCGATCTTCGAAAATACGATCGCCGTCAGGTGTGGGTTCGCCAGACTCTCGGCACTGAGCAATCTTGACCCATATGCCGAGCCACCATTTGCGACTTGCTCGTTCGTGAAATTGGCTTTGTGCATCTCCAGGTACGTATCCGTGTGCGATAATATCGACTGCCATTCAAAAGCCTGCCTCCGCTCCTGCAGATATGCTTCAATAGGTTCCATGAGTAGCTCAACCGCTCCGCTTGGAGCGTTGTAAAGTAAGAATGTCCAGGAGAATGATAGAGTGGGAACAATAGGCGGTCCCACAACCAGGTAATACCCTTGCATGCCGCCTTCTTTCAGCCGCTGCATCTCAGCGTGCAGGTATCCCAAGAACTTATAGAAATCCGCGCTTCTGCCTAGGTCTTTTAAGCGGACTTGGAAGGTATGTGCAGTAGTTCTTGGGGTTGGAAAAGTGCGAACGACGACTTCAGTGATGATGCCGAATGTGCCGCCACCTCCGCCTCGTATAGCAAAGAACAAGTCTTGGTTCTGACATGGGTTCGCGAGGACGACTTCACCATTCGGTGTGACAATGGTGGCCTCAAGCAAGTTGTCGGCCCCCATCCCGTAGCTTGTCGAAAGCGGTCCATGACCACCGCCTGTGAGCCACCCAATGAGCCCGACGCTGGGGTTGGCACCTGTTACAATCGCCATTCCATGCTGAGCTACTTCTTCTTGTACATCAATGTTCGTGTGGCCGGCTGAAACACGCACAGCGGTCAATGGACTCTCGGAAGGGCAAGACGCTGGACTAAACGACGCGACGTAATCGATGCCGTGCATATGGTGCGTCCATATACTTAGGCTGCCATGACCGGTGCTGCGACCTTGATATGAGTGACCAGTCGCCTTCACGACAACGCGAATATTCCTCGAACTTGCCCAAACCAAAGCTGTGCTGACTTGAGAAGCAGTGGTAGCATTCACTACGTAGGCGGGGTAGTTGCCGATATTACATCCCTGCACTTCAGCATGTGGGTTACCGGTGATGCTAGTTCCATTTGGAAAAATCGGATTGCAAGAGTCGTTTGCCCATATGGGGTAGTCGATACTGACGGGATGCGCAGCGTGATATGATGAGTTAAACCACTGCGACGCCACGTAGTCACAGACTTCTCGATCGAACTCCGGCCTCGACGGGTAACAGACTGCTCCCGGTGGAACGCTGCGGATAAGTGCGCCGTCAAGTGTCGTGTTGAGGTCGCTCCATTCATTGATAGTAGGCCAACAAGCATCACCAGGCGTCTGATAATACATCAGCCGTACTCAGTGGATGCGTAATCTTCACTCACACATTTGCACGACTGTTCAACCGCGTCGCTATGCGACGAGATGCAGAGAAGGCAGAGAAGGGGCGTATATATTCGCATATCCTTGACGCTTCAAGCATGCAGCTCAGCCTATGTCGAGATTCAAGTTGTTCGACAAGTCTTTCTCAACAGCGAAAAGTCGTATAGCAGTTGCAGAAAACCTCGCCAGCGCAAACGTTAGCGGATCAGCCAGATCTAGTTAGAGATACCGCGCAAGATGATGGCCATAATGGTGATCGAGGAGTTTTTCTTGCTGTTAGGCTGGTCAATTCTCGAATGCCGAGAGAAGGTAATTGATAGCAGCTGGCGCTGCAAAGGTGTCGATAGCGAGATAACGAAAGAAGGTGATGGATGTAGAAGAACTGAAGATAAAATGGGAGAATTAGACGGCGTTTGATGTTCAGTAATACGTATCCATTCCGTAAAACTTGAATGGCTGACAAGCCAAGCCTCGTAGAGGGGCAAAACACGTGACGAGCCCCGATTATATTATTCCTTCGTCTTATCCCAAGAAGGGTGTCGTTGCGAGCCAACAGCGAATGTACTAGCTAAACGACGAAGTTGAAAGATTTCATCAGGAACAGAATGATGTGGAAATCCTTTGATCTGTACCCATTGCCGTGCGTCTGGCCTGCCAGGCTGCGTCAGGAATGCTACTATCATAGCCATTTCCATCATGGCACGGTCCATCGCATTGGTCGTGCAAGACTACATGCCTCCTTTCAGCTCCATATTGTCGTACTTCCATCATGCCAGCATGTGGTCGTAACGACGCCGCGATGAACTTCTGGAGAGACGTATCAGCATCGAGCACTTGACGTCGCATGGAACATACATACCTCCAACAACACTTCAAGCAGGTCTTCGATGCCTCTTGCTGAGTCTCCTCCGAGCGCGACTCGGCTTGCGCGTTGGTATTTGTTCATGGCTCGGTGCTAGAATAGGTCGTTCGGCGGCATGCATGTCGCTACCGGTTACACTTGCCCCATCCCTCAACGCACGGCGCTCCTCATCCTGAACCTGAATATCGAAAAACGATGTTCTCCAGTTCGTCTGTTCCTCCGGCATACCTCCCGAGCTCCTCACCAGCACGCGCCGCGATCGCTGCATGTCGCTGACGTCCGGCTCTTTCCGGAACAAAGCATCGCTGAAGATGCGTTTAAAGAACTTGGGCATGTTTATTCGCTGTTACTTTGCAAAGCAAAAGATATAGCCGCAGGAAGGATGTTATGCAGGGACTCGCGGGATGCGACATGCCTTATCAAGCCCGTGTTGATGTTTGGGTGGCGAAGATGAGGGCGGCAATTGCGGGGGCCGATACCCCTGTTGCGAGAGGATGGGCAGCGCCATTGGCCAGTATAAGAGGGCCGTAATGTTGATCTTGAACGGGCGTGACCAAGTCTCTCCTGGACGCGTCAACGGAATTTCACTTCCCGTGCCTTCGCCCGCTTCACTGAAGATGATTGTCTTTCCATAACGCGCATTTGGGGTCTCGCGCCTAATCCCTCATATTCAGCTCACGATACACGCGCCTAGACGCGCCGTTGCCGACATTTCAAGCAACGCGCGCATTCGGTTCGTGAGCTAGCTGCAACGATGTCACAATGATCGGCACAACAGGGTGTTTACTAGGCCTTATGGTTCTAACATGGCGTCTAGATGCGGATGAACTCCAGTTCATGTGACAATGAAAAGCCCGAGCACCAGCCATCCCGATTACCGGCTGGCTTCATGTTCCAAATACACTTTCCGTGCGTTGTTTCCTATCACTGACGCTTACTCATTACAGTGTCTTTTTCTCTCCTCTTCTATCCTCTCCATACACTCCTCCTCCGAGCAGTCGAACCAATCATCGATACCGCTACTGTACCACTCAATGTCTCCAAGTCGCCAGCACTCGCACGAACAGCCGGCTTCGTAGCACTTGTGTCGAATATACTCTCCATAATTTTGGCGACCTGAAACCACGAAGCCTTGAGTCTTCAAACGATAAACCACTGGGCAGGCTGCCTTCAGGTAGTCGGACCAATCGTCGGACATATCCCATTGAAAGGCAATGTGCAGCCTGAACCCCTCCTTCCGTGCAACACTTGATTCTTCCAACAAGGTAGAGAGTGACCGACATATCTGTCGGATGTGTACTGCTCGACTTGATGGCCTACTTTCTCCTGTGTGTAACGGTGATGACGCGGGGCCGATGGCGACGTCCAGCTTCCTAAGGAAACCGCATGTCCGGACCGAAGGCGACCAGCTGTCATACAAGACGCCATCGTCGTCTTGCAATAGTGGTTGTAGGAGCTTTATGTCGACCAAAAGATCTGCGCACTTGTACCAAATCTCCACAGCTTCGCGCGCGAACTCAGGGCCGACCTCACGTTCCAGCATCCAATATGGCGGCTCATATGCTCCGACCATAGGCGCAAACTCGTACAAGGGGTCGTATGGGTGCTTAGAGTTGTTGTCGACAATCTCGTACGGTTCGTCCTGACTTCCGCGGTACAGCTCAGTGTAGATCATATCTCGGAGCTCGCGTGGCAGTTTCTCCAAGACCGCATTCGGTAGTTCCTGTATAGCCTCTCGAAACTGCTGGTCTCTCTTCGACAACAAGAGTCTGTAATTATCAGTATGCATGATTATGACTCTCCAATCTTGTATAGCTTACATGCGTATGGCAAGACGTTTCGCGCCCAGCAATCGTAGATCATCATCTACTAAGCGGGCTTGTTCGCGCTCCTTGTCTTCAGTACTGTGTATGCTGGTGGCCAACGTCAGTCAGTCGTTCATTTATTAGATGTCGGGTTGCTCACTTTTCATCGACGTTGCTAAGAGCCGCTTGCAGGCCCTCAACGGTATCGGGTATCTGGAAATTGGACAGAGGCATGACTAGATCAGCGTCGTGGCGTTGCCTATGAATTCGATGGATGGGGAGGAGAGGTCGCAAGGTCGCAAGGTCGCAAGGTCGCAATAGGTACCTGCGTGTTTGTGAGAGAAAGTCGGGACCTCGCCCAATCATGGATCTGCACTAACCCAGAAAGGCAAAGCGTAACCTGACCCGGTGCTTTCATCTTCACTCGGAACGTTGCGCCCGACAGCGCATCGTTTCAAAGCACTGTAGGTGAGCTAATGCAGATATCACAGGTTGTCAAGAGCCAAGGTACGATGAAATAAAAGAGACAGTATCTCTCATTCGAAATGTAGATTACTAGCCCTCCACCGCGCGCAATCCCGCTGCCATCTATCTATCTTTTGTCGTTTGATCCGCATATCGGCAACACTAAAGCTGTCATGTCCTTGTACCTGGCCCCAGAACTTACGCTTTTCCACCCCAGAGGAAGAAGCTGGAGCTGCGCCATCTATCGTAGACGCTAATTCGGTAGACGAGTAGGAGTTCTGACTTGCATTGGGCTTGCTCAATACGACTACTCCCTCTGGGATATCATCCTCCTCAGAACGAGGCCCGGGTTCATCTTGCGCTGGTGTTGCTACGTTGGTGTCGACGTTGTTGTTCGCGGATGGTGCTGACGGTTGAGCGGCTTCTATTCTCTGGACTCCAACGTCTTGCGCGCTTACAACGCTGTCATTGCTGCTTTCATCGTCACTGGAGCTCGCATCATAGAACGTATCTATCGTATGAATAGACGGCGGAGTAAGAACACCCGCCTCGACATGCCGCCAATTGTAAATGCGCGCCCGGTCTTTATCATTCCATGGCTTCATCATCGCCTCCAGATCATCGATATCCAAATATGGGTTAACGTTTGCTTCGATAAGTTCGTCCGGAATGGTGAAAACGTTCACATCCATGGCGCGTTTCTCTGCCTCATGGTATGCTTTCTCCGCAACACGTAATGCGTTTATGAGCTCTTGTCCCTTTTTGATGAAGAAGCGGGGAAATTGAGCGGCAAGTTCAGCCTCGGGTTTGGTCGGGTACTGTGCGCAGTATCTAAGGAATGTAAGTTCGTAGCATTTTCGGTGTTTATCGTGTGCGTGGTCAGCTTCGCTAAAAGCCTTCTTTGCTGCGAGGAGTTTGAGTCTTATCTCATCCTCTGCTGTGAATCGAGTCATGGTGAGATCAGGGGGCTTGCTTTGGGGAACGTCCGCATTCCGGGTTGTGGTATCCTGCTTTGCTTTGTTACCGGTGTACAGCACCATAGCCATCTCGTTTCCAGCCACCGGCTGCAGTGCATCTTTCGCTGCCGTTGGACTAGATTTCCTTTCCGACTCCTTTGCGCCACTGGCTTCTTCACCTGGTTCAGACTCCGCGCTCGATGTTTCTCCATCTTCGCTGTCCCCATCTTCTCCTTTGAATCCTGCTTTGATGAAAGCAATATGGTGGTGAACACATACATTCCACGCCAATTTATACCATTCCTCGTTCGCGTCGTGAACCTTGCGCTCTAGCTCTGCCTTTTCCTCTTGGAGCAGCGATAGCTCCTCCTCATCCTTGAGTAGTTCCTCTCGTGCCTTTGATTGCATTGCGACAACTTTAGGGTCTTGCTGCTTCACTAAGCCAAGTTGGATGCGTTCGACACTTGCTAGACCCGACTTTGTGGAATCGACTATCTGTTGGAGGTGAAATATTTTGTGATCAATCGCTGGGATCTCCTCTTTAGACCGATCTTCGAGTGCTCCAAATTCGAGTTGTAGCTCCACAGATTTAAACATTCGTTGGCCCAATTCGTGCGAGAGAAGAAGCGCCATGACTGGCTTGCCGTCGACAGGAACCTCAATCAAGGTGGCCGAGCCTGCTTTGTAACTTTCACTGGACATTTCATCCCGCTCTGCGACCGGCCAAAGTCTGGATCCCTCTGGCAATGGTTCGACTGTCCTTGGGATGGCATTTTGGTCTTCTGTGCTCTCCGAATGTGGACTATGCGGTGGAGGGTTTTCTGTCTCAGGGTGATTCGACTGCGTGTTCGACACTTGATCGCCGTTTGATGCGGACATTGGAATCTCAGGAGTGCAAAGTGTTTAATTTCCGAAAACACGTTACTGCCTAGAATGCGCGAGTTGGGCCAGGGTAGCATCGGGCTGAAGTTCAGCGAATTACTTTGTGTATCGGGAATTCGGAGACAAAGGCCGTCCCACGAATAGCCTAGTGGCTTTGTTGATATCTTTCAACGACATGCATGGTTCTTTGTTTCCAAGTAAGGGGTTGGAACTCATTGTTGACGCCGGAAGACAGCTTCATGAGCTTAGATTGATGCACATGAGTGGTGAGTAAGCCGCTAGACTCGGTTTGTTTGCGTCGTTGGTAAGCGCCAAAATTTACTCTCTTCAGGATGCCCGGGAGGGCTCATGATAAGACGAGCTGTCCGCAGTGCAGACGCTCGTGGCTCATACTTCGTAATTAGTTCGCATGTTCGCGGCAGCTGTCATTTTAGTGCATGTACTGTTTCATCGCTATATTCCAGTGTTGTCACAACCACTAGATGTCAGCTTGATGCGAAAACTTGTCCCTGTCGTATCAAAATCCAGGGAAGTACGGCTGGGAAGACTGAACAAGTACGTAAGGGTTTGGCCACAGCGTGATCTTATATAGTCTCCGTTCGAGACGAGATGTGCCCGCGTGTGAATCCAGACTGAACGCGATGTTGGTGTAAGGAGGTCGAAAGCTCGAAAGCTCGAAACACGATCCCGTTATGCAAGCTCTGCCTGAGCTTTCACTGAGCTGTTGATTTCGCACGTGTTATGGAAATTCGCATTTGCGGTCGAACGCGCTTTGGCCATTGTTTTTGTACGCAATGAATGCATACGCCTAGTCCAATTCAGCGCCCTAGTCTCCAAAGATTAGCAACAGCGGTCGCAAACCACTCAGCCCGCATCGGTCCTCCGACTCAGCTCAACTACGCGTTGAGCGATTTGCTAGTCTTTTGCGCCCAAAGTGTCGACGACCCAGTTGGCGGGTTGCTGACGCTTCCTCCAATAAGCCAACGATATCATCCACTTGCATCGAAAAAACCAGAGCGCGTCGTCTCGACATGCCTAGAGAAAAGAAGACGAAGAGAGGTCAGCCGCATAGGCGACCGGCCTACCAAGCCCATCAAACCCATCGGCTATTTCGAGAAGATGTGCTTCGTGAGTAATCGAATCTCTTGTGAATGTGACAGCGCTAACAGTCGAGTAGGTCTCCCGCAAGCAAACCACGGTCACACACCGGCGAGGCTTGGCCGTTATACGGTGTCGACTCCAGGGCGCACTGTACATCCACCGGCTACAAGTACTGCTGCTAGGCACCCCGCCGGTCGTACCACACGCGATAAGATCGTCAACCAAGCTGAACCATCCAAAGTAGACGGAAAGTCCCTCGCGAAAGCAGTCCGCCAAGAGATGCAATTAGTCCCGGGCTGGACCAAGATCAAGGAGAAGGCCGTGGAAGAGGAGTTCAACAAGATCAAGTCCGGTACGATAATCAGGGAGATCTACTCAGAGAAGACCACCAACCCTCATGCTAGACCCGATGATTCCAGATATTTCCCCACCCCCGACGGTTTTTACCTGTTCAAGTCCGCGCCCTGGATCGTCTTCTCAGTGAACAAAGAGACATGGACCTTTGACTGCAGGAGGATGACTCGACAAGACAAGCCGAGCGATGCGAACTTGACCGCAGCTCAGCGCGAGCAGTACTTGCGAGTATTGTATCCGGAGGGGATTAGCAATTCGAACGCTCATGGCCACCCTGTCGTCAAGGTCGGATGGTGCAGAGATCCGAAGGCAGGCAACGAAATATCAGTCATCAACCTGGACGAGTCAAGAACCATCCATGCTACTAAAGACATGGACATCTACGGCGCTCTGGAACCGGCGTCCGCGATCATTTTTATAAGGGCGTGCTCGGAGCTCATCTCCAAAAGGGGGCTAGCTGCCGAAGCAGAGCATATTGATATGGACTCGATCAACCCTGTCGCTGCGGAGCCCGCCATTGCTGATCACCATCCGCTAGGCACACGTGATGTGGCTTCCGTGGATCCAGCATGTGGTAAAGCGGTCGCGGGCATGCCCGAGTACATGAAAGATGCACTCATCGCTTCAAAAACCCAGGAGAACTTCATCAACCGTACCACAGTTGAAAGCTGCATGAGCTTGGTTGGCGACCAGATATCCTCATCACTACCTGCCGGATCCGTCCTCGGCGCTACGGAGGCTCCAATACATGAGAAGCAGATGATCCGCGCGTCTCACCGACCGAGCGCTTTGGAAGATGTTGGCATGAGCTGCGACATAGAAAAGACCTCATCGCTGGCTCTTGAGCTGTATGCTCCCTCGTCGATCGTTTCCGGGCTATCCAACCCAGTTGAAGAGTTGACTTGGGATGACGAACCCTTGACCGAAGAGGAAATCGCAGCGATACGCTCACTGAAGCCTAAGACCATCGGACAAACGATTATCGCAAACCTAAAGGCGTTGGCGTTTGATGCACGACTTCGTTGTTACAGTGATGTCGTCGATGCGGACTTGGCCCGTAGCTCGGCCGAGAAATATCGCGAGAAACTTAAAGCCATGGAGCCAGATGCGAGGACACCCATGCACGTCCGCGAGTACAAGGAGCTTTGGAAAAGGTTTCTCTTGTTAGACTCTGGAATCCGTGGCCTGCAAGATGTGCAGGATGTGAACATGTTGCACCAGTTCGTTGTCTCTCGGATTCTCAAGAACCCACCGGAGGGCTGCAACTGGAACCAGGTGGCGCCTGCTGCTGGCATGATCTAGTGGACATTTTGGCACTAGATTATGGTCGGTAACATCGCGCAAGCGGGCTGAGAAGCCCAGCTAGAGGGGCCAGTAGGACGTCCCTGAGTTTCATGTCAGCGATTCCATTCACAATGAATAGAGTGCGTCGTTGACTCAAACTGCGGTCTGGTCCTTCGGGAAGGTCGATTTCATTCAGCATGCATTTGCATTGCGACATGGGTATAGCACGGGTGTGTAGGGCTTAACAGATTACAAGCTTACACATAAACGGGTGGTAACAACACAGGTGTTGCGATGAGTGACTGTGATGAAAGTGATGATGGAAAAGATGGAGGTTGACGGTTTGAGGATGGCGGACCAGGCAAGAAGCCCCTGCCCACATGCAGGTGCGCTAACGCGGACGGAAGCCACAATGACGTTGACAAAGCTAACCCGCGCATCCGTCGCGTCGCAGCTGCCAGATGCGCGACGCGTGTTTGTTCCCCCGCAAGCATTCGTTATCCTATCGTGTTGGCTCACTTTTGTTTATTCATCACCGAAATCACATACCCAGGAAAAGACTGTCTCACGAGCTTCTGATTCTCCGGCTACCGCGACTAGTCTAGCAAAAGTCCAAAGATTTCATCAGATGTTGCCCAAGGCGGATTCTAAGTATCTCCAATCCCTCCAAAGTCTACCCGACGCAAGACACCGGCACCTCTCCCATCCCCGAAACAGACTCTATATGTTGATCATTGTCTTTTCGCTCTTCATCCTCCCCCTAAGAGCGATTCCGCATCTGACAAAACACACAGTCCCGACAATGTCGTTGCCGAATCCGCGCTGTAGTATCGAGAGGCTCTACTTCCTGACCTGGCGATTGGTATCCGCCTGTCTCGGTCGCCCATTGTGCAGTCGCTTGCCAGATCGCGATATCGCTAATCATCCTGTCGCGCTCTTCGGTCTCATCGCTGGTCTCGCTGCCGCTGTCGGTGCTAATGGCGCTGATAGCCGGCGGGATGGGCAGGGCTTCAGGAGTACTGTGTCCTAGTGAGACGGCCGCTGGGGGTGGTGAGCTACCTGGTTGCGGTTGACCGGGCGGGAGCTTCTGTGGGACGGCTATTGGCATGCGAGGTGTGAAGTTGGGTGTGGATGGTACGGTCGCTGGGCTGTCCGTTCCTTCTAGCTTGGTCGTGTGCTTGACCGGAGCAGCTCGATTGCCAGCGATGTCAGCCCACGTGGTACCCTGTGGCGCCGCCGCGGGATCTCTTGCAACGTATGGTTCTAGCGGTGGCGTGAAGACCGGTGCGTCTTCTTGTGCTGGCTCGTCGAAGTATCCTGGTTCGTCCTGCTCCGCCATTCCCAGCGGCCGACTCGCTTGCCCTTGATCCCTCAGGTATCTCACCGACTGCCGCTGATTGTACATTTCCACTTTGAGAATGACGTTTGCTATGCGCGTCTGGTCTGTTTCCTCTTGAGCTCGCGCTGCTTCGGCTTTGGTGCGGAAGCCGACGACGATTGTGGTGACATTGCTATTCGGGTAGACGTTCTTAAGGCTTGTCGGATTGTAGCTTTCGTACATTTTCTTTAACTCGTCTGTCTCGATGTAGCCGGGGACGTTCTTGACGAAGATGAGGTGCTCGTTCGCTGCTTTGGCGCCATTATTCAGAGGCATCGCGACGGTTGCGCAGTGTGGGCGGGATTGTGGGGCTTTGGATTGTATTTGCGAAAGTCTTGGTGTTGTAAAATCTAAGTCTGTCTACGAATATAAGCGATGACGAAAATCCGAAGTGAATGTGCTGCTAAGAATCGAGATGGTGCGTGTGTGTAGAGAGGTGCAGTGGTACCCTGAAAGTTCTTCTGACGTTCGCGTGTCAGATTACCGAGTAGATAAGGGTCTTTGACTGCTGCAGTGTTGCTTCCACGGGTTGTTCTATCGCTGTCGCGGCAGGTGTAGTGGTGTAGTGGTGTAGGTGAGCAAGTGATTATAGATGAATGACGCAGAGCATGTTGGGCCCATAAAGCCCCGTGAGAATGTGTTCGTCCTCATGGTACGCAGGCAAACGGAAAGACCGAAGAGCAAGTGACTGGGAATCTCAAGG